TTTTCACCGACTATACACTCTCCTCCCCGTGGCCCTTCCCCCCACGAGCACAATTCCCGAATGACCCGGACCCCCCGCTTTCTAACTAGACACCTCTAAAACGAATCCCAGCACGCGCCACCACCCCCCCCCGGCCTCGTGTATACAAATTAGAACAATGGGTAACAAATTGGAAAAAAAATAATAGAAGTGAAAGCCAACTCAGTCAATTCGAAAAAATAATACAGAAGGGAAGGACTGTAGAAGAACACGAAAACTTGAGAGGTATAATTAGCAAAATTTATAAGATATTAATTGAAATGAAAGATGAAAAAACAAAAAAGTGCACCCTTAAAGAGATTTGGGAAGAAGATTTAGGGATAAAAATAAGCGAAATAGAGTGGCAACAATTATGGGGACAAAGACATTTAAAAAATTTATCGATACGAGTTAAAGAAAATTATTACAAGTTAATATGGAAGTGGTACTTGACACCGGTAAGAATAGCATATATGAGTAAAAATAACTCAATAAATTGTTGGAGAGGGTGTCAAGAACCAGGAACATATATACACATGTGGTGGCAATGTAAATATGTAAATAATTTTTGGGGGATAGTATTTAGAGAAATAGAAACTATAATGAATATAAAACTAGATAAAAGTCCTAGTATAGCATTACTATCACTATATAACGATAAGCATTTGAAAAAGGAGGATAAAGAAGCGATAACAAACTTACTAACTATAGCAAGACTGCTTATAGCAAGGAATTGGAAAAAAGAAATGAATATACAAATAGAGGAGTGGTATAAAGAAGCATGGAAAATAGCAATAAATGATAAATTGACATGTATATTAAAGGTTAAAAAAGGTATATGGAAACAAAGCGATTTTGATGCTGTATGGGGAAGATTTGTGGTAAATGGATTAAAAAATAAGGAAGGAAAATTACCGTCACAAGAAGAAATGAAATTTTGGACAGATGAAATGTAAGAAGGGTGGCTTGAAATGGGTGGAGGGGAGCACTGTGGTGGGAAAAGGGGGGAAAAAATGAGAAAAAAAGGGGGAGAAATGTTAGAGTAAAATAATAAAATAACATGTTAAAGAGGTTGATGTACAAAATGTAATAGTATGTAATAAAGTGATAAATCAATAAAAATAAGAGAGAAAAAATGGGGAAACCCTGTAGAGAATAATTTCAGAACCACAAGAATAGCTGCTGTTTGCAATCTATTCAGCACAATATTGACAAGCAGTTGATTTGCACTGAAAACAGTGAAGGATGATAATAAATAGCATAGTGTCTAGATCTAGGGAAGTAATGCTACCCCTCTATTCTGCTCTGGTTAGACCACACCTGGAATATTGTGTCCAATTCTGGGCACTACAATTGACGGGAAATGTTGACAACCTGAATTGTGTCCAGAGGAGTGCAATTAAAATGATCAAGGGTCTGGAGAACAAGCCCTAGGAGGAGCAGTTTAAAGAGCTTGGCAGCATGTTTAGCCTGAAGAAGAGAAGGCTGAGAGGAGATAATGATAGCCATGTATAAATATGTGAGAGGAAGCCACAGGGAGGAGGGAGCAAGCTTGTTTTCTGCTTCCTTGGAGACTAGGACACGGAACAATGGCTTCAAACTACAAGAGAGGAGATTCCATCTGAACATGAGGAAGAACTTCCTGACTGTGAGAGCCGTTCAGCAGTGGAACTCTTTGCCCCAGAGTGTGGTGGAGGCTCCTTCTTTGGAAGCTTTTAAACAGAGGCTGGATGGCCATCTGTCAGGGGTGATTTGAATGCAATATTCCTGCTTCTTGGCAGAATGGGGTTGGACTGGATGGCCCATGAGGTCTCTTCCAACTCTTTGATTCTATGATTCTATGAAATAATAATAATAATAATAATAAGCAACTTTTTTTTCTACCCCGCCACCATCTCCCCAATGGGGACTCGGAGCGGCTTACATGGGGCCAAGCCCGGACAACATAATACAGCAATAAAATCAAAGCATATACATCAGACAACAACAACATTATCAAAATGACATTAAAATAATAAAATAATAATAATAGTAATAATAAAATAAAATAAAAATTCCAATAGACACAATCACGATAGAGATGACAATGGGCGGGCCACATATTCCGAATAAGAAACAATTAACAGACTATGATGAGATAAAATAGGAGCAGGACGTTTAAATGGAACTCATAAAACACACAGAGCTGTGGGGCAGAGCATCCTATTTGGAGGGCACGAACTCCATTAGCCGAAAACGTTGAGGGGGTATAAAATATCATGCTGAGCACCTACTCGCCAAAGGCGCAGCGGAAAAGCCAGGTTTTGAGGTTCTTTTAAAATGTTTCCAGTGAAGGGGCTTTCTTGATTTTCCCAGGTAAAGAGTTCCAAAGTCGGGGGGCCACAGAGGGATGAAACTGTCTTATCGTCTATTTGGAAAAATAGATTTTTTTTCCAAATAGAAAACAAGACAGTTTCATTCCTCACTGGAAAAAAGTCTCCCCAAACCCAACTCCATTAGCAGATCACCAACCATAGAATCATTCTCAGGGTTGTGGTCCCAAAATGTAACTTTTCAGAGCTGTACTTCCCCGAAGGTCTGTTGCTTAGTTGCTTAGACACTGGGCACTGCCATTATAATGCAGACTGAACTGGATTGTATGGCAGTGTAGACTCATATAATCCAGTTCAATCCGCATTATATGAATCTACACTGACCATACAATGAAGTCAAAGTGAATTATATGGCAGTGTGGATGGGGCCACAGATATCTTTAGGTGCAGCAAGGTAACTGTTTTACTTACCAGACGCAGAGAGACCAAAGAGCCATCAAAGGTCTGTGGTTAGAACAGGGATCCCCAAAGTAAAGTGTGCTGGTACGGCTGTACCAGGAGCTCCAACTTCATTTCTTTCTATTGAGTGTTTGCATGCATTCCAAGGTTCCATGCATTTTGCAATAAGGTGGCTTCCCTTGTTTGCAATTATAGGGCCAATGACCCATCAATCATTGTTAAGTTTTGGTTCCCCCTTTCCCCAGGGCTCTGGGAGGAGAGGGTGCCATTTTAGACATTGGAAAGCTTAGCTACAGGATGTGGATTAGCTCCACCTGTAGAGTAGCTTTGTTTCTCATAGCATCCGGGGGAAAACAGTTCCAAAGGACTCCACCTGGAGAATCTACAAAGCCTTGACTGGTAGGCCTACTCGGGACCCAAGAAGCAGTTTGGAGCCGGGAGTAGAGCCCACACCAGCAAAGCTTAGAAAGTAGATTGCCCAAGGAGGGGTTAAAAAGATTTTCCTCTTAAAAAAAAAGAAAAAAAGAAACAGTTCACGAAGCCAGTTGCCTGTCCCTTGTGGACAAGATTAAGAAAGCCACTAGTTGATTCAAAGCCTTGAAGCATTTGTTTGACTTGTTGAAGATCTAAGAAGTATTTGATTGTTTGTTGAAGACTTAAGCCAGTGTTTCTCAACCTGGGGGTCGGGACTCCTGGAGGGGTCACCAGATGGCATCAGAGGGGTCACAAAAGAACATCAGAAAACATAGTATTTTCTGTTGGTCATAGGGGTTCTATGTGGGAAGTTTGGCCCAATTTTATCATTGATGGAGTTCAGAATGCTCTTTGATTGCAAGTAAACTATAAATCCCAGCAACTACAACTCCCAAATGTCAAGGTCTATTTTCCCCAAACTCCACCAGTGTTCACATTTGGGCATATTGAGTATTTGTGCCAAGTTTGGTCCAATTCCATCATTGTTGGAGTTCACAGTGCTCTCTGGATGTAGGTGAACTACAACTCCAAAATTCCAGGTCAAGGCCTATCAACCCTTCCAGTATTTTCTGTTGGTCATGGGAGTTCTGTGCGTCAAGTTTGGTTCTGTTACATCGTTGGTGGAGTTCAGAATGCTCTTTAATTGCAGGTGAACTATAAATCCCAGCAACTACAACTCCCAAATGACAAAATCAATCCCTCTCCAACCCCACCAGTATTCAAATTTGGGCATATTGGGTATTTTTGCCAAATTTGGTCCAGTAAATGAAAATACATCCTGCACATCAGATATTTAAATTAGCTTTCATAACAGTAGCAAAATTACAGTCATGAAGGTTGGGGGTCACAACATGAAGAACTGTATTAAGGGGTCGCGGCATTAGGAAGGCTGAGAACCACTGACTTAAGCAATAATAAAGGACTTTGTTAAACCTTTCAAGCTTCTAAAGACTCTGTATAGGAAAATCCTTAGGGCCTCTCACTCGAGGCACCCCAGCTTCCCGCTGGGCACAAAGAGCATGTCCTGTTCAAAAGCCAACTGCTATAGGCCCAGAGCGTGACAGCACATAAAGCCTGTGGAGTGGATGCAGTCCTCCAAGGTCCTTTACTCGACCCCCGCTATAAATTTTACACTTAGGGCAACCTTAAGTCTGAAACAACTTGAAAGCCCACAAGAACAAAAGGTTTGAGGAGCCCTGGGTTAGAAGTTCCAGTGCAAATAGGTCAACTTACGGTGGGTTGTCACATTTGCGTTGCCTGAACCTGGCCCCGGTCCCACACGTCCTGCTGCACATGCTCCACTGGCTCCACATGTTCCAGTCTCCATCAACATGTTCAGGGATGGGGGTCTTGCTCACACACTCCCCAGTTCGGCACCACTGGAAGCATCACAAGAACAACATTGATACTGCAGGATTTGGAGCAGATGAAGGCAATGCGAGAGCAGCTGCAAGGATGTAATCTGAGTGAAATTAAAAGCTAGCGACAAACTAAAATGATTTGCCCATTACGGCTGAACAAAAATGTGGCTAAATCATCCTTTGGTCCAAACTGGATGTTTGGACCAAAGCCTACAGAAAACATTAAGATTTGGACAGAGTTATAAATGTATCTAAATATTTAAGGGTGCCATACGCTGGTGGCTCGGATAGATAGATTGCATTTCTAATCTTCTTAGAAACCATTGTGTGTGTCTCTGCTAACAGTAACAGCACCCCATGGTTGGCCAATATCAATTTGATGCCCAATGCTCCTGACTCAACAATTGAATAATTTGTTCTAGTTGGGACTAACCAACAGAATGCCAGCCAATGCAATTCACGAACTCTATCGGCAAGTCTCCAACATTTCAACATAGAAAATGCATGCAATCAGCTTGGGCCATAATATCAAGAACCACAAATGATTTGCATTTTTGCTAGTTAACATAAAGAGTGTAATACATGCCCAAGCAAGGAATGGGCCTGTAGACCAGTGTTTCTCAACCTGGGGGTCGGGACCCCTGAGTGGGTCACGAGGGGATGTTAGAGGGGTCGCCAAAGACCACCAGAAAACACAGTATTTTCTGTTGGTCATGGGGGTTCTGTGTGGGAAGTTTGGCCCAATTCTATTGGTGGGGTTCAGAACGCTCCTTGATTGTAGGTGAACTATCAATCCCAGTATCTACAACTCCCAAATGTCAAAGTCTATTTTCCCCCAACTCTATCAGTGTTCACCTTTGGGCATATGGAGTATTGGTGCCAAGTTTGGCCCAGATTCATCATTATCTGAGTCCACAGTGCTCTCTGGATGTAGGTGAACTACAACTCCCAAACTCAAGGTCAAAGCTCATCTATTTTTTCCAGTATTTCTTATTGGTCATGGGAGTTCTGTGTGCCAAGTTTGGTTAATCTCCATCGTTGGTGGAGTTCAGAATCCTCTTTGATTGTAGGTGAACTATAAATCCTAGCAACTACAGCTCCAAAATGACAATATCAATCCCCACAAACCCCACCAGTATTCAAATTTGGGTGTATTGGGTGTTTGTGCCAAATTTGGTCCAGTGAATGATAATACATCCTGCATATCGGATATTTACATGATGATTCATAACAGGAGCTAAACGACAGTTATGAAGTAGCAACTAAAATAATGTTATGATTGGGGGTCACCACAACATGAAGAACTGTATTAAGGGGTTGCGGCATTAGGAAGGTTGAGAACCACTGCTGTAGACCAATTTCAGGTGAGTCGCTTGGGAAACATGGAATGACTGCTCACTGTTAGGACTTACCTTGTCTGCCCCACATTCCGTGCCATCCAAAGGGGGGTCCAGTTTGGTTTTGCATGAAGCGTCTCCTTCCACAAGGCACCAGAGACCAGCACACATCAAATGCTGCCAACAGAATGGGAAAGGAGTGCCTTTATTTTCTCCACAGAGGCCAGAGGACATGGGGCAAAGTTTTGTCAAGTTTCTTCCAAGTGAACCTAGTGTTGTAGCCTGGTCAGATTCTGAGTGTTCAGAAGATGAGGAAGGGGATGCTGGGAGATATTCAGAGGGTCCAGAGAGAACTGTTTTGGAATCGCTTGGGAGTTCCCAAGAGAACAGTGAAGGTGAGCTCTGTCCCATGGGAACCTGCCAAAAGTGCATACTGAGGGAAATCATATCATCATCATCATCATATTTAATTATAATGCCGCATTATCACAGGGTGTCTGCGCCCCACACCACTGGAGAAATTACACTGCTTAGCCGGTATTGCACCACCTGACATCCGCCGGGAAGTAGCAGCCAACAGTGAAAGAACCAAGGCAGAGACATCTCCAGCTCATCCCCTGTTTGGGTATCAGCCAGCACGTCAACGACTTAAATCAAGACATAGTTTTCTTAGATCTACAGAGACACTTGCTGGAACACCCCAGCAAGCGAGAGTCCAAAAGTGGCAGGCCCAAACCCAGCACCTCAATCCATGGGTGATACCAGATGAGAGACTCCCCCCTGGGCACACAGAAGACTGGGCGACTTGGAAGGCGCTGAACAGACTGCGCTCTGGCACCACGAGATGCAGAGCCAATCTTAAGAAATGGGGCTACAAAGTGGAATCCACGACATGCGAGTGCGGAGAAGAGCAAACCACTGACCACCTGCTGCAATGCAACCTGAGCCCTGCCACATGCACAATGGAGGACCTTCTTGCGGCAACACCAGAGGCACTCCAAGTGGCCAGATACTGGTCAAAGGACATTTAACCAACTACCAAGTTTGCAAAATCTGTGTTTTTTTTTTCTTTTTAATCTGTGTGTTTGTTTTGTTCTGTTAGAATTGTAACACAATGGTATGGTTGCTGATGACACGATAAATATAAATAAATAAATTTAATTACTTATTAATCGCCCTCCATCCGAGATGCTCTAGGCGATTTACAAGCTAAATTGTAAAAGATAAAAATACATACATACAGAAATTAATGATTAACATAGATCAAATGCTCTAGTGAAAAGCCAGGTCTTAAGTGCTAGAGTAAAAGGCCCTAAGTCACGCATGGCTCTCAAATAGGGCAGCAAGGAATTCCATAAGGCAGGGGCAGAAATAGAAAAAGCCCTGCGTCTGGTCCTTTCCAAGTGCACTTCTCTAGGACCCGGTATATAGAGTAAGTTGCGTTGGGCTGGTCGTTGCGACCTCTGATGATGGGAGAAGGAGAGGCGGTCCCTAAGGTACGATGGACCCTGGCCGTAAAGAATTTTAAAGGTCAGAACTAGCATCTTATACAGACCACGGTAATCAGTTGGAAGCCAATGTAAGTGCTGTAGCACTGGTGTTATATGGCATTTCATGGGCGTTCTTGTGAGTAACCTGGCTGCCACATTCTGAACAATACGGAGCTTTCGGGTCATAGACATCGGAAGGCCAACATAAAAGGCGTTGCAATAGTCTAGCCTAGATGTGACCGTGGCATGGATGACTGTTGCCAGAGCCTCATCAGATAGGTAGGGTGCCAATTGCCTCACTTGTCGTAGATGGAAAAAGGCCTGTTTGCTGGCAGCAGCGACCTGAGCTTCCATTGTCAGCTGCGAATCCAAAACGACACCTAAGCTCTTAACAGTGGACGATGGAGATAGGGCGGCACCATCAAAGGTGGGTAGCGGATGAGTCAGACCTGTCGGGCGGCCATGCCAGAGAATCTCAGTCTTTGCTGGGTTCACCTTCAGTCTACTAGCACATAGCCAGTTCGACAGAGCCTCCAGACATAAGGTGAAGTTGTCTGGTATTGACGTTGCTCCCGGCTCCAAGCGCAGAAGGAGTTGGGTGTCGTCCACATATTGGTAGCAGTTCAGGCTGAAACTCTGGACCAAACTAGCAAGGGGTCTAACGCAGATGTTGAAGAGAAGAGGGGAGAGAATTGCACCTTGGGGGACCCCACATAGAAGGGGGGATCTATCAGAGACTTGATCCATGTACTCCATGCGCTGACTCCGGTTTCGGAGAAATGTGTTGAACCAATTAAGGGCCTGACCGCAAACTCCAGACTCTGAAATGTGGGAGACAAAGATTTCCGAAATGTGGGAGACAAATGTTTCTTAAGGTCAAAGAGATTGGAATTAAGACAACAGGACCTGCAATTAAGGACTCGCTTCTCCAAGCAACTTAGAGATAAGGAACGGGAAGGCAGGTGCAAAAGAAATGATCTCATGGGAAGGATTTTGGCTTTTGGTTCATGTTGGTATAATCTTTGTGAGAGCAATGCTGCATTCAGATGCAGAGCTCTCGGTGTCATGGGCCTTGAAATTCATGAAGCCAAGTTTTCAAGCAGTTACTGGTTTCAAGTGTCCTGATTTTGTGAGGCATAGTTTTGCCTGCCTTTTCTGTACCTTGTCTTTACCCATTTCATTGTAATTATTTTGGAGATTTTCTCTGAAGGGTTCTTTGGACTTTTTGCTTTTATCAACATAACCTTTTGAACTTTGATTTCCTTTTTTAAATATTTGCTTGCTTTTCATATATCCAGCTTTTATTATACTCTGTTTTTAATAAACTCTTACATTGGATTATCTGGATATTGTGCGGTTTGTGGTGAAAAGAGGCTTCAGGTTCCAAGTGCAACACCTTTCATCTGTACTTTGAAGACGCTTTTCCTATGTGGTGGTTGGGGTCGGACTAGCCTATGTGCTCTCTTCCAACTCTATTATTCTATGATTCTATGAACTTAGCAGCATTTTGTGGCTGCTTCTCTACATCATTATAATTTTAGATATGAAATCAACACTGAAGAACTAGACTAGAAATATATATTGAATATCAGTACTGACTCTTGATAGTATAGGGAGGTCATCATTTGCTTTTTAGTCAACTCCAATGTGTAGTTGCTCTTGTGTGCCTTCAAGTTAATTCTGATTTATGGGGTTTTCATAGCAAGGATTGTTCAGAGGTGGGTTGCCATTGTCTTCCTCTGACTTGGGCTTCCATGGAAAAGTATGGATTCAAACCTTGATCTCTTGCAAACTTATCCAACACTCAAACTAGTACGCCGAGATGGGTCTATGCCTACGCTATAATTGGATTTTCTTGGCAGGATTTAAATGAAATTTCCAATTGCTTTCCTCTAAGTTTGAATGTGTCCTGAGGTGTGTTGATTGAGCAAGAATTCAAATTTTGGGCTTCTGGAGTCCTAGAGCAAGGCTACACCCTTTGCTGATACAACTCTCCCTGTTTCTCATCAAGGAACCCAGGCAGAGACTTAGTCACCATGTAAGTCAATATGGGGACCACATCTTTCATCACTTTTCAAGTGTCATTGTTCTGGTACAGCTGTACCAGGAGCTCCAACTTTATTTGCTTTGTATTAAATGTTTGGTTGCAGTCCTGGGTTTCAGGGACTCTGCAGATAGGTGGCTTCTTTTGGTTGCAGTCATAGGGCAAGTCACCTGTCCATCATCATTAAGTTTGGTCCCGCCCCTTGCTCAGGGCAATTGGGAAAGGAAAGGAGCCATTTTTAGTTAGTCTCAGCAAGGAGCGCTAATGTACAGGACGTGTGCAAGCTTCCCCTGTACAAAAGCTTCAACCCTTAAGATTTTCCGGGGAGAAACAGTCTTAAGAGCATCTAAGATTTTCCGGGGGGGAAACAGTCTTAAGAGCAAACCAAAGAACTCCAGGGAAGCCTCCCCAAAGTTTTGAGGACCTTCCGGGGAGAACAGTCTTAAGAGTCTCCAAAGATTTCCAGGAAAACAGCCCTAAAGACCAAAGAACTCCAGCTGGAGAGTCTATTGCCTTACTGGTAGGTCCACTCGGAATTCGAGACGCAGTTCGACCCCGTAGCGGAGCCCACATCAGTAAGGGTTAGATTACAGTCAGCCTGGGAGAAGTTAAAAAGGGGATTTTCCTTTAAAGAAGAAGTTATTGAAGACAGTTGCCTGTCCTTCATGGGCAAGTTTAGGAAGCTACCAGTTGCATAAAAACCTGGATTCATTTGTTTAACTTTATTGAAGACAAGAGAAGTTTCTGTTTGATTGTTCATTAATACAATACTTTGTTATACTTCACAAGCCATCTAAAGGTTATTTGTGGTGGAAAACCTCTGAGAACTTCTCCTTGGGGCCCCTGGCTTCCCACTGGGCAAAGGTTGCACGTCCTGTTCCAAAGGAAATTCTTTACACACCCAGCACGCAACAGAACAGATGGAGATCCTGCATTGAACAGTAGTTGGACATGATAGCCCAGGAAGCTCCTTCCAACTCTGCAATTCTATGGTTCAAAACAGAATACGGGAAAAACAGCCGAATAGATAAAATAAAATACCGACACCCTCAAGCCAGGGAAAGCCAACTTGCATCACGAAGGGAAAGAAATTCAGAATGCTCTTTGATTTTAACAGCTCTTTCTGGGATGACATTTATGGACGCACACATTCAGAGCTTCTCTCAGTAACAGCTATCTCGGTGGTCCATGTTCCCCGAAAACACGATCCCTTCTTTCTTTAGAAACTTGCCTATTGTTTTCATGTTGCACTAGCTGCCTTCCAGGCCCAAAATAAATCAAACAAACCCAGTTAAGGCTTGCAGTTTGCTTCCTCTGCTACAGCGCACAGTGAGTCAAAGGTTGCCTTTCATTATTATGAGTTTGGCACGTTTCATTTATGCAGCAGTGAAAACTATAAATGGTTCTTATTTGCAATTTTATATCAGATTTAAAGTTCCTGATTTTTTTTTTATTATGGGAAAGTGAAAAGGACATTTACGGAAACAATTACTTTGCAAAGGAGGAAAGTGGAACAATGGATTTCTCTTCCAAATGCAACTTTGACAGGCAGAATGGCAAGGTTTTATGTCTGCAGGGGCCACACGATTAAGCAGATATGGACCTGAGGGACAGGGACTCTGTTTTGCCATATATTCTACGCCACTTAGCAATGATTAGTCAGACCTTGGGAAGTTTGACTTGGCCATGGTGGTCCATGCTCTGGTTACATCCTGAATAGATTACTGCAACGCACTCTATGTGGGGTTGCCTTTGAAGTGGAGTAGACAGAGGGGAAAGCTCAGAGAGACCCCATCATTGCAGCAATGCTTTCCACTCCTGCCTATGCATAAAAATGAAGCTCCTCAGTGGAATCCCAGAGCCAGGACAGCACATCGGTCAAGGTTGCGATGTGCTTGAACATTGGCAAGCATGCAGATTCTGTCAGGATTTTATCTCTTTGAATGTGAGCCTGTAGGGCATTTTTAAGAAATGAGAATCCAGAGGCGTGAGTGCTTATGAACAAAAAACAGGCCCCTGGACCAACACAGCTAGAAAGCCTTTCTACCCCAAAGCTGAAGCTGTTGTGGTTTGTGGGACACTTCTGGGGAGATATCACTGCTGGACCTGTCTGGGCATACTGAATTTTACATGTGATTTAAGATTATTTGAAAAACAGGGCCTAGCCAGTAATGTCTAGTATTGTTATTGTGTGCCTTCAAGTTATTTCTGACTTGAAAACCTATTCTTGGCAAGATTTATTTAAAGGGGGTTTACCATTGTCTTCTTCTGAGGCTGAGAGATTGGCTTTCCATGGCTGAGCGAGGATTGAAACCCTGGTCTTCTGGAGCCAAGACTGTTCGGAGACTTCAACTAGTCCAATGGGCAGCAGCCAGATTACTCACCAGAGCGCCATACAGGGAGCATACCACCCCCTGCTGCGTCAGCTCCACTGGCTGCCGGTCCACCTCTGAGCACAATTCAAAGTGCTGGTCTTGGCCTATAAAACCCTATACGGCTCCGGCCCACTTACTTATCTGAATGTATCTCTCTCTACGTTCCACGTCGTAATTTAAGATCTACTGGGGAGGCCCTGGTGGGGACGAGGGACAGGGCCTTCTCGGTGGTGACCCCCCGCTTATGGAATTCGTGGTGAATCGTCTTAATATTCTAGTATTTAAGTAGAAGTGGTGGATCCTAACTCATATAGTTAGCAATCTGGATAGCTTCCATATAGTTTGGCCAAAAATCCAAGGTGAATTTAACTCTGCTATTATGAGAGCCACCCATTGCCACTGGACTTAACTAGCATTTCTATGTTGTACCAAGAAGCACTTTAGGCACTGAACTCGGACGATAGGATTGTTTGAAAATTGGAAATGGCTTTATGACCTGTGATTATGTGATTTGTTCTATGTGATTATGTAATTTTAATTAATATCACTGTTTAATTGTTATGTAATGGATTTTATATTGTTGTTTTGATACTGTTGGCATTGAATTGTTGCCTGTGTTAGCCGCCCTGAGTCCCCCCTCGGGGGTGAGAAGGGCGGGGTAGAAATGGTCTAAATAAATAATAAATAAATAAATCAGGCAAAGGAATACATAGATTTCTAGAGCCTTAGAGTTGGAAGGAACCAGAAATGTCATCTAGTCCAATGTCGGATAATATGGAGTCCCCTACTGTTACCCGTCTGACGTAGCGCTAGACACTTAGAATACTAACAACAGGGACTCAGAGCAGCTCAGCAGGAAGTGCCCGGATGTAGAAGAGGAGTATGGAAATCACAGAGGGATTTCCTCCTCCCTCTTTCCTCCTCCCTCTTCCTCCTCCTCCTCCTTGTCTTGCCTTTTTCACTTATTGGGAATGGAGAGAGAGTTTGGGAAATACACTCCCTTAATTGAAGGGAAAATGCTGGAGGAAAAGGGGGGCATCGGATAAGAGCGTCGGATAAGATGGAATGTCAGATAAGCGAAGGTCGGATAATCAAAGAGTTGGAAGAGACCTCATGGGCCATCCAGTCCAACCCCCTGCCAAGAAGCAGGAATATTGCATTCAAATCACCCCTGACAGATGGCCATCCAGCCTCTGTTCCAAAGCTTCCAAAGAAGGAGCCTCCACCACACTCTGGGGCAGAGAGTTCCACTGCTGAACGGCTCTCACAGTCAGGAAGTTCTTCCTCATGTTCAGATGGAATCTCCTTTCTTGTAGTTTGAAGCCATTGTTCCGCATCCTAGTCTCCAGGAGCAGAAAACAAGCTTGCTCCCTCCTCCCTGTGGCTCCCTCTCACATATTTATATGGCTATCATATCTTCTCTCAGCCTTCTCTTCTTCAGGCTAAACATGCCCAGCTGTTTAAGATGCTCCTCATAGGGCTTGTTCTCCAGACCCTTGATCATTTTAGTCGGCCCTCCTCTGGACACATTCCAGCTTGTCAATATCTCTCTTGAATTGTGGTTGCCCAGAATTGGACACAAGGCAATATAGAGGGGTAGCATTACTTCCCTAGATCTAGACACTATGCTCCTATTGATGCAGGCCAAAATCCCATTGGCTTTTTTTGCCGCCACATCACATTGTTGGCTCATCTTTAACTTGTTGTCCACAAGGACTCCAAGATCTTTTTCACACGTACTGCTCTCAAGCCAGGCATTGTCCCCCATTCTGTATCTTTGCATTTCGTTTTTCCTGCCTAAAGTGGAGTATCTTGCATTTGTCACTGTTGAACTTCATTTTGTTAGTTTTGCCCATCTCTCTAATCTGTCAAGATCGTTTTGAATCCTGCTCCTGTCCTCTGGAGTATTGGCTATTCCTCCCAATTTGGTGTCGTCTGCAAACTTGATGATCCTGCCTTCTAACCCTTCATCTAAGTCATTAATAAAGATGTTGAACAGGACCGGGCCCAGGACGGAACCCTGTAGCATTTGCACATCCACATTCATTTTTCTGTGTGTCATAACTCAGTAGTTTGCACTGAACTGAAAAAAAACATTGATGTTTGATGTGGTCTGAAATCTCTGACTTTGATCTTTGAGGGCCATTTCTTACTGCTTTATACACATCCAAGTAATTGCTTGATGGCTGTCATCAGGTGATGAATATGCATGGGTGAACTCAAATGCATGTCAGGGTATAGCTTGCTTTGTTTTGGATGATGCAGTACCAATCCCTTCCATGATATCACCTAACTAACATGTTTACCTAAAAAAATGCTGGGCAGTATGTCATAACCAAATATACATATGTGGTGGGACTGCAAAAGAATTAAGACCTATTGGCGCCAGATTTGTATAGAGACAGGAAAAATCCTCCAAATAAAAATTAAACTAAAACCAGAATATTTCCTATTGGGAATTGTTGACTTTAAGTTGGAAAAAAATGAAAACAAGATTTTCTTTTATCTCTCCACAGCTGCCCGAATTAAACTAGCACAATATTGGAAATCCAATGAGATACCGACAAGGGAAGAATGGATCCTAAAAATATATGATATAATGAATATGGATCTACTAACAAATAAACTCTCAAGCAACTTAGATAAAACTAAAAACACAGACTGGGATAGAGTTCTGAACTATCTCGAGAACTGAAGAATTGAAAGAAAATAAAAAAGATGTGCATAAAACAAGGAAACCTGAAAAAACATCAGAAGGATACAGAATATAAAACAGACTTAGTTCACATACACAGACCTGCATGGAAGTTTTCTCACCCCCCAACCCTATCTTGTACCTCCCCCTACCTCAACCCCCCCCCCCCACGAATGGAAAGGAAATGATGAAGGAACAGATGATGTAGTAATGAATGAATGCATACCAATCCCCCCCCCCTTTAAGTGTGGATGGATTCCCTCCCCGTTCCCTTTTCCTCTACCCTCACATTTTTCCCTCTTCCCTTATGCACCCCCCGACTTTTTATACTTTTGTACTCAAAAACTCAATAAAAATAATTAAAAAAAAATATCTCTCTTGAATTGTGGTTCCCAGAATTGGACACAATATTTCAGAGGGGTAGCATTACTTCCCTAGATCTAGACACTATGCTCCTATTGATGCAGGCCAAAATCCCATTGGCTTTTTTTGCCACCACATCACATTGTTGGCTCATGTTTAACTTGTTGTCCACGAGGACTCCAAGATCTTTTTCACACGTACTGCTCTCGAGCCAGGCATTGTCCCCCATTCTGTATCTTTGCATTTCGTTTTTTCTGCCAAAGTGGAGTATCTTGCATTTGTCACTGTTGAACTTCATTTTGTTAGTTTTGGCCATTCATCTCTCTAATCTGTCAAGATCGTTTTGAATCCTGCTCCTGTCCTCTGGAGTATTGGCTATCCCTCCCAATTTGGTGTCATCTGCAAACTTGATGATCCTGCCTTCTAACCCTTCATCTAAGTCATTAATAAAGATGTTGAACGGGACCAGGCCCAGGACGGAACCCGGCTGATGGCACTCCGCTCGTCACTTCTTTCCAGGATGAAGAGGAAGCATTGGGGAGCACCCTCTGGGTTTGTCCACTTAACCAATTACAGATCTTCTCCAGAATATTGCAATTCCAGCAATTGTTTTTAACTCATTTTAAATTTTATTAATTTAACTAATTTATGAGGCCATAAAAAAGACTCTAGCAAAGCACTCCAGCAAAAAGCATGCAGGAATGCGGAAAGTACTTCATCAGTGTCGCAGATGGACGATGAAAGCAACAGCTCCCCTGGTGGCCAGAAAAGTTAAATAGCCTCTGACTGTCTGTCTATATCTGTTGTGTGTCTTTGGCATTGAATGTTTGTCATATAGGTGTACATTGTAATCCATCCTGAGTCCCCTGTGGGGTGAGAAGGATGGAAAATAAATACTGCAAATAAATAAATAAATAAATAAATAGTTTTCTCCCTGTCACTCTTTCATGTCCCGGTGTGAACCATACCTCCATATTCTTGCAGAAAGTTGCATTGGTTCCAAAAAGGATCTGGCACTGCTCGTCAGCACTGTAATGCATCCCTGGGAGTTTGTATGGAAGCCGCACCGCATATCGGCTCCTTGGATCCGTCACCAACAAACACGTGCTGACCTTGGACCTGAAAGAAAGCAATGACGACGGTCTATGGACAACCGGCATTTGGTTTCATCAACTAATTGATGAACATCCAAATCAGCCTCCCTTCAAAATTCCCCTCAGTGGTATACTTGCTACCTCTCCTTGGGAATGTATTACATATCTATTCAAGTACATGCAATGCTCTTTTGACCTAAACAGGGCCCTAAAGATATATTTAATAAAAAACTCACAAAGCCAATAAAGCTGTTCAATAAACTCAAGGCCTTTTTGAAGGCTTTCAGTTGCTTCTAACATGCCTTTGGCTGCCAATGGTAGAAGATGTATAATTGCTGAACACTGTGATAGTACCACACAAAGTGGGTTCTGCTACACATTAAGGGGCAAAAGGGCTAGATTGGTCCACAGTTATCTCCCATGGAATGGCTGGTCCAAAGATGAGGAGAGATGACCCATTAAGCTCAAAGCATTGGTGTTTTGTGGGAAAGGTGATGGTTTTTGCGAAGACATTCCAAAGTTAGAGACCTGAAGCTTCCTTCCAACTGAGAGAGCTGTTCAAAAGCATTCAGATATATTTCTCCTGTCACAAAACACAGGCAAGATCTGATTTAAAGAAGACATCAAACTTGTTTTCCTTTTCAGGAAGCTGTCAAGGTGGTGAAATTGGGATATCAATGTTTCTGTTCTCCTGCCAGCAATTTTTGCACAATGGGGCAGATTCTACTCTCCAGCACCCGTCACTGAAAATCTCTCATCATTTTGTCTGAGAAGACAAGAGACTCATTGTCTTGAGTTTCAAAGGCTTTACCACTTGCAGCGTTCTTACTTGAGAAACTTTTCAAGGTCATCGCGACTGCAGGAAGACCAGGACAGGTCGCTGGGATTCCTACCCTTGACCCATTCTCCAGACATGATGTGCGACCGCCCAGCACAAGACAAGTGATCATCATCATGGCTCATCCCCATGCTGTTGGAGAAGAACAAAGAGGTAATACAATGGTATTGTTCTGTTGCGCGTTGGGCCTGTAAAGAATTTCCTTCAGAACAGGACGTGCAACCTTTGCTCAGCGGGAACCCAGGGGGCCCAAAGAGAAGCTCTTAGGAATTTTCCACCACAAACAGTCTTTAGAGGGCTTGTGAAATATAACAAAGTCTTTTATTGAGGAACAATCAAACAAAAACTTCTCTTGTCTTCAAAAGGTTAAACAAATGCTTCCAGGCTTTTGTGCAACTGGTGGCTACTAACTGTTACTTTACTTTAAAGGAAAATCCCTTTCTAACTTCTCCCAGGCTGACTGTGAACCTAAACCTAACTGATGTGGGCACCACTACCGGGTTGAACTGCATCTCAAAGCACTGAGTGGACCTACCAGCAAGGCCTGCAGTCTTTTCAGCTGGAGTTCTTTGATATTCAAAGCTGTTTTTCCCTCCGAAATTCCTCAGAGCTTTAGGGCTGTTTCCCTGGGAATCTTTGGAATCTTTGGATGCTCTTAAGACTGTTTACCCCCAGAAGTCTTAAGGGTTGAAGCTTTTGTACAGGAGAAGCTTGCACACAGTCCTGTACATTAGCTTTCCTTGCTGAGACTAACTACCAAAATGGTTCCTATCCCTCTCAGAGCCTGAACAGGGGGCGGAACCAAAGCTTAATGATGATGGACAGGTGGCCTGCCCTATAACTGCAAGCTTTAACAGGAAGCCACCCTTCTGCAGAATCCCAAGCCTTGGACTGCAAGCAAACATTTAATACAAAGCAAATAAAGCTGGAACTTCTGGTACAGCTGTACCAGCACAAGTCATGGGCAAACTTGGGCCCTCCAGGCCTTTGGGGCTCCAACTCCCACAATTCCTAACACCCTACCAGCTGTGGAATTGTGGGAGTTGAAGTCCAAAACACCCAGAGGGCCCAAGTTTGCACATACCTATTGCACTCCAGGCCTGGAAACATCTATGACCAACGCGCCACAAAAAGTCCAGGTATATAAGCAAACAGTTTATTGTAAACACATAAAAAGTTTTTTAAAAAGCAGGAATAAGAAAGTAAGATATATAATCCAAAAAAGTTTAGCAACAAGTGATAACCAAACAATAATCCAAATGTCTCATAAGGTTCCGAAGGTGACAAAATCCAGGAATAGCCAGAAATCACAGGTACAGCATCAGTTCACAAGCAAAAAGGTATAACTAGTAAAACTTGAACAGGAATACATGAACATAGAAAACTTCCAGGATATTAAAATCCAAAACCAAGGCTTGATTTGAACCAGGAACAAAGAGAACTCAGGCTTAGCTTCTCCCTCTAACACAGCATTGCCTGAACTGTTTTTAAGGTAAACAGCATGTTGTTTAATAGACACCCATGAAAGCATTATGTCTATCGTGAATTTTCTCCCCGACTTTCCCACGTAATCTTTCCGATCAATGTAATCTATTTTCGGCTCTGATCTGTAAATGAAGACTTTTTTTGATCTCAGTATCTACAGGTGGTTTCTCCTGGGAACCCTCCTTATCATCAGCTCTTCACTCAATTCCTTATCTGATGTTGCTACTTCTGGTTCCTCTGACTAGTTTTAAGGCCCTACACTTTCTGTGACAGTTTTTTTTTTCACAGAGAGAACAATCATTTCCCAGATCTGAATGTCCCAAAGTTGAGGGCTCAACACTTTGGGCTACAGGAAAGCCCACAATCCTCTCTAAATCATCAGTGAACTCATCAGCCTCTGGCTGATCTACAGCAATATCTGGTATAGACAATATTGTTCTATATAGAGTTCCAACAAGTAGTCCATTTGGAGTAATAAAATACCATGGTGCTAGAAATAATCAGTTCAACCACTGAATTCCTTCCTTGTACCAAACTACAAAAAGGATGACTGTTCTGTCGTGCGCTGGGCCTGTAAAGAATTTCCTTTAGGACAGGACGTGCAGCCTTTGCCCAGCGGGAAGCCAGGGGGCCCAAAGAGAAGTTCTCAGAGGTTTTCCACCACAAATAGTCTTTAGATGGCTTATGAAGTATAACAAAGTCTTTTATTAATGAACAATCAAACAGAAACTTCTCTTGTCTCCAGAAAGTTAAACAAATTATTCCAGGCTTTTATGCAACTGTTAGCTTCCTAAACTTGCCCACGAAGGACAGGCAACTGTCTTCAATAACTTCTTCTTTACTTTAAAGGAAAGTCCCCTTTTTAACTTCTCCCAGGCTGACTGTAATCTAACCCTTACTGATGTGGGCTCTGCTACCGGGTCGAACTGCTTCTCGAACGCGAGTGGACCTACCAGTAAAGGCTTAGATGTTCTCCAGCTGGAGTTCTTTTGTCTTTAGGGCTGTTTCCCTGGAAATCTTTGGAGACTCTTAAGACTGTTCTTCCCCGGAAAGTCTTGGATGCTCTTAAGACTGTTTTCCCCCCAGAAAGTCTTAAGGGTTGAAGCTTTTGTACAGGGGAAGCTTGCACACGTCCTGTACATTAGCTTTCCTTGCTGAGACTAACTAAAAAATGGCTCCCTTCCCTTCCCAATTGCCCTGAGCAAGGGGCAGAATCAAAACTTAACGATGATGGACAGGTGACTTGCCCTACGACTGCAACCAAAAGAAGCCACCTATCTGCAGAGTCCCTGAAACCCAGGGCTGCAAGCAAACATTTAATACAAAGCAAATAAAATTGAAGCTCTTGTACAGCCGTACCAGAACAGAAATAGTCCATAAGTTTCAAAGGAAAACAAGGTCCATGAGTACATAAAAATCCATGAAACTAGGCACTTGAATCCATGAAACAAGACAGCTGGAAAATCTCACAGACAAATCTTGAGCTTGGCAAAAACTTGGTACATGAAATTCAGAGCACTAGAAAGCAAGACTGTGATAAAATAATAACGTTGACTCGACTGAGGCCTTGGACTGCAAGCAAACATTTAATACAAAGCAAAAAAAGTTGGAGCTCCTGGTACAGCCGTACCAGCACAATGGCTCTTCCCCTATTTGGATTTCTGCAATTAATAAATCATTTAATATACTACATTCCAAGTTTCTCTGGAAAATAATGGAGCTCCCTACATGTGTGCCTGACTCCATGATATGCATTAAGGCAGGTCAAACCACTTTTGAAACCTTGGCATGGATGAGAGTTAAAAAATTCTGGCTGCACATACATTTTCAAGCAGGCCCTGATAGCTATATTCCCTTTCTATTATCAGATCATTTTATTTCAGAAGGGTATTATATGATTCTCAGAAAAATCAAAGCCATTGGCCTGTCTTTGGAAGCAGTCTTAAAGCTTACTAATGTGGAAGCCTACAGGTCAATCAAGAGCAGACTTTTGGATCTTGACTTTCATATTCTGACTCTTGCAGAAAAGACAATTTGTTCCCCTACCTCGTCATTAATTCCATGCAAGTGTGGAGTCATGGCAGCTTATCTTCACATTTTGATTAATCCCACCCAGAAGAGAGCTCTGGCGACTGCAAGATGTAATATGTTGCCATCATCAGCTCTTTTGTATGGGAGATAAAAAACCATGGAACGTTCCAAAAGGGTTTGCTCTTGAGACTTGGTTTCTGTTGAAACAGTTCACCATTCTTTGTTTGCATGCCCTAAATATGTGATGCAGCAGCCCAAAAATCCAATGGGATTTTGGGTTGCATCAAAAGGAATCTAGTGTCCAGATTGAGGGAAGTCATGGTGCCTCTCTAGTCCACTTTGGTTATACCTCACCTGGAATACTGTGTCCAATTCTGGGCAAAGCAGTTCAAAAGAGAGATTGCCTCTAAGCTGGAAGGAGTCCAGAGGAAGAGGGCAACTAAAAGGATCAAAGCTCTAGAGACCACGAATAATCTCTCTGAAGAGTGTCTTAAAGAGCTGTGTCTGTTTAGCTGCAGAAACAAAGGCTGAGAGGAGATATGAGAGGCATGCATATATATATGAAAGGAGGACATAAGGAAGAGAGGGTAGGTTTCCTTTCTGCTGCCCTGGAAACTAGGATGTAGTGGCTCCCCAGATATTTTGGCCTTCAACTCCCAGAAATCCTAACAGCAGGCAAACTGGCTGGGATTTCTGGAAGTTGTAGGCCAAAACACCTGGGGACCCACAGGTTGAGAACTTCTGACTTAGGACAACAGGTTCAAATTACAAATTACACCTGGACTGTATTAGGAAGAACGTCTTAGAGATGTTCAGCAGTGGAACTCTCTGCTTTAGAGTCTGGTAGAAGTTCCTTCATTGGAAGCTTTTAAACAGAGGCTGTATGGCCATCAGTCAGCCATGCTTTGATTGTGCTTTTCCTGCACAATCAAAGCACGCTAGATGGACCTTGGGGTCTGTTCCAACTCTATGATTCTATATTAGATGGACCTTGGGGTCTCTTCCAACTCTATGATTCTATACTAGATGGACCTTGGGGTCTCTTCCAACTCTATGTTTCTATACTAGATGGACCTTGGGGTCTCTTCCAACTCTATGATTCTATACTAGATGGACCTTGGGGTCTCTTCCAACTCTATGTTTCTATACTAGATGGACCTTGGGGTCTCTTCCAACTCTATGATTCTATACTAGATGGACCTTGGGGTCTCTTCCAACTCTATGATTCTATACTAGATGGACCTTGGGGTCTCTTCCAACTCTATGTTTCTATACTAGATGGACCTTGGGGTCTCTTCCAACTCTATGATTCTATACTAGATGGACCTTGGGGTCTCTTCCAACTCTATGTTTCTATACTAGATGGACCTTGGGGTCTCTTCCAACTCTATGATTCTATACTAGATGGACCTTGGGTCTCTTCCAACTCTATGATTCTATACTAGATGGACCTTGGGGTCTCTTCCAACTCTATGTTTCTATACTAGATGGACCTTGGGGTCTCTTCCAACTCTATGATTCTATACTAGATGGACCTTGGGGTCTCTTCCAACTCTATGTTTCTATACTAGATGGACCTTGGGGTCTCTTCCAACTCTATGATTCTATACTAGATG